GTTAATGAAAATTAATTTATTTGTAATAATGGTTACATGGTAATTATTTGGACATTCAATTGTATATATGATTGACTTGAAAAAAAAATTTATAATTGTTTAATATCCGATGAATCGAGTAATTTACCAACCGCAATTTACCGCAATTTACAAAGGCGTACGCGTAATGTTAGAAACACTGTGTCTGTGTGTGTGTGCGCAAAATACTGAAAAATGGCTGTCATATATTCTATGGATAAGCGAATCACAAGAGAGAGAAGTAGAAAATTATTTTTTACACAAGGGAGAAAAAATATTCAAAGAGATGACTCGAAAAAAAACTAAGCAAACGTTTCTGTGGTTGAGAGATAGATGTCGCCAGAAATCAGTCCATTTTGATAATACAAAAAATGTGATCTACGGATCATAAAACTTACAGAATACAGATAGTCTATCATGGCGAATTGATCAGAAATACTTGCAGCCTCCCTTCGGATCTTCATTGGGTGTACAGAAAACTTTTTAGCTTTATATATTACATTGTGCCCTTTTACTGTGAAATCACATAAATTCACAACATTTCTCAGTTGTGCTGGGTTAAGATACGTTAGGACTAAATGCTAGGATTATATTGAACATATACGTTATTGTTTGTTATATAATACTACTCAGATCGAACGATACGGTCCATATACGGACCGTCTATTGGACGCAGGAATACGGATCGTAACATCATTAAAATAGGGTAGTACACGGCCGTATTTTCACAATATACGGCCCCGTAAACGGTACCGTTTCTGGACACAGTAATACGGGGTCGTATACTGTGAAAATACGGCTTTGAGAATATCCGTTTTGGTCGACCTGGATACCCACATTTTTCGGCCGGTATCGCTGACATATGAAACAAAGCACTTTGCAGAACAGTGAATAAGTCAGTTTGTTATATATTTTCTATTTGATTTATAACTTAGACACTAAAGCGAACTAATAACATTGCTTTTCTTCGGGTGTAGTCTGAAAAAATCCAATCCGTACCCGACAACTGTGTACCAGTACCCAACCTTCGGGTCGGGTCGAGTTGCACATCTCTATTGAAGAACTTTGTCGTTTTCTGTATGAGATAATTGATTGTTACCTGATATCCTTTATAGTGTATATATGCTACAGTGCTAGGTATGATAGGAGCTACGGTAGATAATGAATCAACTGATATGTCAACGTGAATAATATGCCGTAGAAGATACATGAACAGTTATGAGTTTCTAGTTCTTCTAATTTTGTCTATTTACCGTTTCACTCAGTCGACTTTCCAATCTTCCCAAAGGGTAGTTGGTCTCTAGTTATTGCTTTCCCTACGCTTTTTTCGTCCCAGTCAGCCACTCGTTCTCAGTTATCTCTGATTGCACAGATTTCTGGAAAAGATAATTCGAAAGTGTATCGGCTGCAGGTGACACAGCCGAAGTTAGTTTTCCGATATTGCTTTTAGTTATCCTACAAATTAGGCTCACAAAAGGATTATATTTTTCAGAGAACTATCGTTTTTCGGATGAGATATTTTGTAGAACTCCCTCACTATCTTCGAAGAAGAGGGAGTAACAGTTTTATACCCAAAAGCCGCTGTTTTAACGGTATAATGTTATGGTTATATCTTGTTGTAGCTGTTAACTTAAAATCAAGAAAATCGATTATCTACTCTTATTTCTATGTTATTTGGATTTTTTTGTTCGTTCAATATTCTCTTATTCTATGTTTTATCTTGATTATTGTTACTTCTTGTTGTCATTGGGAAAACAATTCGGAAAAAGATTATAGTTTGTCTATATCTGTCTTCTGATTCTCTCTTTATGCTCTTGAACTTTTGAATCTCAATAGGAAAGTCCTGTAAGAAGCATGTGATTAGAGATCACACTAATTGTTCTAATGTTATGATAGCCCCGCAAGAGCAGTAACCAAGACCCTGTAAAAAACCAAATGAAAGCCCTAATTTTCTTTTTTATACGAAGACTCTGCAAAAATTTATACAAAAATTCATGAAAAAAACAGGCCTTTCGTAACGTCTTCTTATGAGTTGAAAACTTTCACTCTATACATTTATCCTACCTTATTCTATATAAAATTAATCAATATCATTCATCATTATTTGAAATATTGATTTCTGATAAAATTTAAGCGTTGTATCATCTAATTATGTTGTTCTACATAATTATATCAGTAAATTATAGAACAAGACAAAAAACTAAACAAACTTGCAAAATTTATGGTTCAATACAATACATTATACATTTATTTATTTAAACAAAATTAATTTATTTCATACATGACCATTTTTATCTTTATAAAAATTTTATTTTTTTACAACAATATACAAGAGAATTTTTTCTTATTTTATTCTGTTTCTCTTTTTTTCGATAAATATAATCAAGCCACACAAGATCGAAAGTACCTTATTTAAGGCGGGAGATGTTCAATTGTTAATAAGTACGTCCCAAATGCTTTACAATAAAAAAAAACGTTTAGATTTCGATGATTGTAATGCGATTTCTAATGATGAGTATTGACGAGCTTAAACAAAGCACAATTTGATAATTTAATAAAAGAGATAGCAGTTTCACCAATTCGTAATACGTCAATTAGATTGATACGCACAGCGATGGCCTGTTTATTATGCAAATTACGGTTAGGTTTATCTAATACAGTTCTGCGTTTATTATTCGAATTACCAGATAAACGGGCTGTATCTCAAGTTATTGAAAGTGCTCGTAAAGTACTATTGGAAAGTTTTGTTCCCGATCACCTTGCATTTTCACATATTAATTGTCGTCAGATAATAGATAATCACACAACAACAATAGCACGTGAACTTATGGGTGGAAGAATTGACACACTTGTGCTGGTTATCGATGGAACATACATTTATATACAAGTAAATGGAAAGGTATTCTTAATTTTATTTTTCAACCTTATTGCAATTATAGAAAAGCCGAAACAACCAGTTCCAGAGAAAAACATTTAACCTGTACAAAAAGAGATCTCTGTTAAAACCAATGATGATAGTTACGACCAGCGGATACATTGTTGCCTGCATCGGTCCTTTCTTTTCGGACTATTCAAACAACGATGATGAAAGACATTTTATTAAAAAATACGGACAACATATTGAAATTGATTGAACAAGTACTTAATATATAAATTAATGCAACACATCTTTGTTAATTGATAAAACCTTTTATATTTAGAATGATGTATTTGTCGTAGACCGAGATTTCAGGGATAGTTTTGGAGCGATGCATGCTTTAGGCTTGGATGTGGCAATGCCACCATTTTTAGACGGTCAAAAACAATTTTCAACATCAAGTGCGAACAAATCACGGTGTATAACGAAAGTACGATCGATGGTAGAGGCTGTAAATGGACGATTAAAAAATTACGGCTTCTTTAACAAAACAGTACAAAATTCGTCGCTAGGATTTGTCGAAGATTATCTTTCGATAGTCTGTGCTTTGATAAACTACTATAGAGAACCAATTGCAACGTCGAAACCTGGAGATGTTGATGTTAGTGGAATAATGCTGTCACTTCTCAACCAAAAAAATAAAGTCCATGCGGTAATAACTATCTACCATTACTTCACTACCTAGAATTGTAAGTTTTTTTAGCTGATACAACAACACAATTTGTCAATGGGAAAATATTGATGGAACGTAACTCTTTTCGACATTCTCATTGTTATCTGGTGATGAAGCTCCTTCTTATCGAACAGTTGCAAGGTGGACTGAATGGTTTCGCGAAGGTCGAGAGGAAATCGAAGATCAAGAGTGGACTGGAAGGTCTGTAACGGTACACTAATCCAGGTCCACTATATTTAATTAAAATATCGATTAATCAGTTGCATCGGCCCTCTCATTAGTAAATAAAGGAATTACTAGAATCTCGCGAAAACCTGTTCTTGTTAGGAACTTTGACTGCATCATCATTTAGAAAACTTATTTCTTTATAAAATTACATTTGTTTTTTAAATTTGGTTGGTTGCATATTATAGATAAATGGATTTGAATCCGAGAGTTATGTGTACTTCAAAAAGTAAAAAGAATTGCCAACAAACCGATTTTGATCAACGTAGTATCGTGTTTTAGCTATCTTGAGCGTATGCTCGGCATTTTAACCTTGTCTCGGGAACAGTTTGGCTATTTGAACTAGGGGACGTCTCAATCGAAGAGAAAACAGTTTAGTATACAAATTCATTCTACACAAGTGAACAAGTTATAAGATAAAAGAACTGCTACAAGTCAAAAACTGCGTAAATCCGAAGAAATACTGCCTTCCGGGAGGCGGTATTTCGGACTTTTCTCACATAGCGCATGAGATCCTGTATTTATTTTTTTACAAGACATAGATCTCGTCAAGACACATATCTTGCCACTAAATTGTAAGGATAAAAACACTGGGGAGCCAAGTTAGCATGGACTACACTGTATGCGGCCCTATCTAGTGATCACTGACTCTACTCTCAGACTGATATAATATCTTTTGAAACTACAGAAACTGAGTTCAGATTCGTGTTCAGCTTGGAAAACTGATTAGGAAGACTTATTTCAGAATGGATTTGTACTTGTATCTAGCGGAACTACGGTCACAGGTAACCTCATTGATCGATGGTAGGTATATGATAGACAGAGACATCCGTATTTTCGTCATAACTCACGAATATTATTAGTAATCGAGTTCAAATTTTTCCATTGAATAACCCAATTTAGTTGCTACAAAACCATGCATTTAGAAAATCTTCAAAACACTAGTCACATGAGACATATCTAGGCACATTGATCTCGGGGTGCAGTTTTTGTGCATTTTGAGACGTTGTTTAGACAACTTTTAGTTAAAAAACTACGATTTGATTCAAAACTAATATCATATTCGGAATCAGTGTTAAAAACTGAGTCGATTCATATATATTTTAAATAATTCTAAGGAAAATATTTTTTTGATAAAAATACCTCCTCATGGATGGTCCGGTCAACAATCACATTTTTGCAATAACTCAACCATTCCTTGGCGAATCATTCTCATCTTCGAACTCGACCGAGATATTGATAAGACAATTCTGTGTGCAAAACTTCATCACAGTCGGATGAGTCTGTGAGGAGTTATCGTGTAAACGGACGGCCCGACGGACACACTGATCGATTCTAGAGTGTACTCACTTTTTGAGTACACAAAAAAGAAACTGTTGATTATATGATATAAAATTTGTGCTTGAGAAGCAACGAATACTTTTTCTTATCTACTAAGTTTTCTCGTCACAATCTATTCAAAATATATTCAAGAACATAAACATCATCTATAGATATTATCAATCAGAAATTCAATATTTTAAATATTAATCTGTATCTCAGACTTTTCTTGTTACATTAACAAAAAATATGACTCATCCTTTTGTTGTGGGATGTCATTCTCTGATTCATCAATGTCTGATTGTGACTGAAGAAAATAGAACAGAAAATATTCCAATGCACTGGGAGACTAGTTTTTTCCGTTCTTTCTTCGTCAAAATTATCATGTGACACAGAATAATTCCATTAGAAATCTAAACACGTCATCTAATAAGAACTGAAAAAAAACTACGGGAATATAACTTAGATAGACTGAGAAATATCCCAGCTGATGTTCTTACATCACAACAAAGGTGTTATTAATGAGTAAAGATCAAATGTTTCGTAGCTACGATAAATTTTTTTCCCATATAGTATCTTAAGACAGAATGAGAAGTTTCGCTCTTAATCTATCGTGCCATAATTTCTCCAAGAACTGATTATAAGGATGGAAGATTTACAAAAGCTCTCTATATATAAGAATAGAGACTAACACATAAATCTAAGTTTTCAATAGAACAATACAAAATGGGTCGATACAATAAAATATGTATTAGTTTTTGTCTATTATTAATTTTCTGTTATATCATTGGCAATGAAGGCGCATGCAATTGTCCATCTGGAATGTGTTGTTCTAAATGGGGTTGGTGTGGTCATGGTGCAGCTTATTGTGGTGATGGTTGTCAATCAGGACCTTGTGATCGTGGTGGTAGTGGACAACCAAGTGGTTCATATCGCGGGCGATGTACTTATTATAATGTAAATGTTGGATATACAGCATGTGGTACAAGACATGGTGATCATGAACATATTGTTGCTATGAATGCAGCTCAATTTGATCCATATACACCAAACGGAAATCCAAATCGTAATTCATTATGTAATCGAAAAATTCAAGTAAATGGTCCACGTGGTTCAGTTGAAGTTCGAGTTGTTGATCGATGTCCAGGTTGTCCGTCTGGTGGTTTAGATTTATCACCAGCTGCATTTCGAAAAGTTGCTGGAAATCTTGATGTTGGTGTTGTTCAAGTAACATGGAGGTGGAAATAATCATTTTAAGTTAGAACATCTACTTTTAAAAGTGAATCTTTATTATTTATTTTTAAAACTTTATATAATATCCAAAAAATCATATTCAAAATATTTCTTTTTTTGTTCCCTCGACTGTAAGGAGGGTCAAGCGAAAAAAACGTTTGTCTGTGTGTGTTTGTTTGTGGAAGTCAAAAGAACACTTTGCGAAAAGTGGCGATTAAGGTCTCCGACTGACCGGTACCATGCTACCGATGACTCTTCTGAGGTAACTGGTGGTTGTCAAGGCGACGAGTGCTGAAATCAGATTAGTCGGTTTTCGACCAATCAGAATCGAGTTTTCAGAAAACGGTCAGGAAGAGGTTTCTTGCGTCGGAGATCACGAATCCGGGCTACGCACACCCCGAAAACTCATTGGTCGGTTTTCAACGAATCAAAATCGTTTTTAGAAAACGGTCAGAAGAGGGTTTCTTGCGTTGGACATCATGAATCTAGACCCCACCCAACTATGCATGACGTAATTTGATTGATTAGCAACAGAAAGCGGGTTTTCTAACTCTCAACGGCCGCGTGTGCTAAAAAGGGCGCATACATTTTCCCGTACGGTATTTTCTGAACATCCGGCCGTAAAGGGTTCAAAAGAGTTTTCACAGATACTAGTGGATGAACTACTGACTTAAGGATTAGAAGGCTTTGCATGAAGTGTGTAAACTAAATTCTGGCTTGCTCAATAAATATGATTTTTCTCTATGAAACTTTGTAGAAAAACGATTGAAATGTAGAGCACATACACGAGCTGTCTCTAACTATCACAAGTGAGTGTCTGAGCTCTTCCGTTCCTGTTCTCTCAAAGACAATAGCACCGTGGGGCTCGATACAGAATATTGAATTAGAAGGGCAAAGGGGTAGCACAAAAGAAAACATTCACCTCGACTAATCGTTATCATGGAGACATTCTTTGACCGTAGTAGATATACTCTGATATTGTTCGGTGAGAATCTCTTCCGTAGATTGACGAGAATATCGACTTTGACATGGTTGCATATATTTCAGACCATTGATCAGCAGGGACATTTGTTGTGGTGTCAAATTCAAATCAACTTCGATGAACGGCAATTCGATGTTTCGACATTCGATGTAAAAGCGGTGGAAGAATTTCACCATAAAAATCTATTCCCCAATCCCAAGTTAGTGAAAAAGATTTCAAACTTGGTAAACTTTCCTAAAGATAAAGAATATTTGAACTTCTTTTCAATATTCAATTTGTAAAAGCATACTTTATTACTTATTTTTTTAAAGAATGATTTCGAAAAGGGCACTACTATATTAACATTTAATATTTCAAGTTTGTTGAAACGACCATCAAGTAAATAAAGGCAATTATGAATAGTTGCCACATTGACATCCAATTTAAGTAGAGTAGAAGAGAATATTGATGGAACTAAATGATTATAGAAGATTTTTTCATTACAATTTATTGATGGTTCAAATTTTAAATATTCGAAATTTTGAAAATTCTTAAAAATATTTCCAAATATAACACAAGTTATATCTAAATTGATGATATTTATGATAAATAACAAGTGATGATATTTGATTTTTCAATATATGAAAAAAATCAATGTTATCTAAAGGTAAAAAAAGTGAAGGGAATATTTCGAATTTATTTCGAAGATATTACTCTAAGCATTTTTTTGTATTCATACAAGACTTTTTTCAAAATCTCAATTCAATTATTTTTCGTATCGTAATTATACTCACCGTCGAAGTTGCAACTCCAACAGACAAAATTAATTGATCAAGTTAATTCATATGATGTATATATGAAATAATGAACAATTAATTGATTATATTCTAATTAAAATATGTTAAAGGTAAATATTCAAATAGAGAGGCAAATTCCAAATTTGCCTTAACAAAATTGAAATTTTATTTAAATGAATGACACAACTTAAAGAAATCTAGAGCCCCTTGAATCCAAGAATTTCTGGGCCCGGCCGATTAAATATTTGCGGTTACGAAGCCGGATTCGATTGATCAGTTTTTTCTGGGTCTGGATCCAAACTGTAATCATAACAGTCTTAGTAGATTGTTTCGAACCCGAATCTGATTGTCGCTCGGAAGAAATGAGATACTTTTTTAAATTTGTTTAAGTTGAGGAAGTAGCAGTCTACAAATTTTCCAAATTACTCAATCTCAAAAAAGTAGGTTATGTACACTCAATAATCAGTCAATCGTAGTCATCAAATATAGAGACAATTTAGTCTCATCGACAACAATCGAAAAAAAGCAAAGGGTGACTATGATTATTCTTGAAATGACATTGAAAAAAATCATAGACGATAGTATACAATTGGATGGAATATTCCTTGATTTGCCGATCTATAATAGTAACTAGAAATAGGTATTATATTCAGTAAAAGCTTTGTACCGAGTCCGGATCTGGGTTCGGATGGAACCCGACGGGCTATACACAGATCCCAACAAATAGAAAACGATAGGATAATAAACAATGGTAAAGGTCAGGGTTAGATCTCCGTAGCAGTGTCTAGTGTTTAACTCAGGTTGAAACCCCCCATATATGAATAAGATTGTTTTTACGCGACTTTTTATTTTCGTTTGATTCTTGTTCTCCTCGTTCCCTGAGCAAGACCAGCAGTCACCATTATATCCAGCTCACCCTCATTGTTGACCCTCTGTTATCTAATTGTTGCTATTTATTTAAGTTTTCTGGCTCATTAACGATATTCGAAATGTGCCTGGAGCATATATCTTTATTATAATATCATTAATTAGGTAGTAGTTATTTGTGATCTATGTGATCTGCACTAACTTTGACATTATTGTCCGTCAAAGTTGCAACTTCGACGACCGATGTAACTTCGGTACAATATGTCGGTTAGCTGAGTCGTCAAGCAGCAGAAAAATAGAAATCCGCCGAAGCTGAATACGAGGAAAAGTCTTATCGAACTCAAACAAATTGTTTTATTCTGAATAAGAGTAATTGATAAAGCATATCATAAATTGATCTTATTTCGTTTACGGTAAACATCAATGATAATTATGTAGTTTTTATACCAATTTGAGGGACTTCTCTAGAAATAAAAAACTATACATTTTCTCCTTTTATACCTTTTAACTTAGAAAGTTTATTTGTTGCTCAAAGTGAATATACTAAAAGATGAAGCAAAGCACTAAAACAAACAAACGGACCAAATTCTTTTCACCTCCACTGTATGTTAAATATCATACAAATAAAACTGGAATCAATGTTAAGTTTTATCTTATCTAATTAATCAATCGAACAACGAATATTTAAAGATAAGTTTCATTTAATGTAAGATTAGGATAATTTTCTCTCTTCTTCATCAAGAGCAGAATCTGAAAATTTTAAGGACGCGGATCGAAACTAGATCTAGAAAAAGGTAATCATGCACATCTCTATTCATTAATCTTATTTCGTCAATAAATACAAAAGGACTTTTCAATAAATAATTTGTTAACTATATTTAGACTTTCTTCATATCAATCGTATTGATTTTTATCTATTTTACTATATTAATATTTATTTAAAGTATTTGAAAATAAAAATCTCTTACCAATAAAGAGGTCTAAAACTGTTTCCATATCAATGTTATAAATAGAAAGTCCATATAAATTAGGATAATTTCCAGAACGAAGAACACGTTTGATTAATAATGAATCAAGAGTAAGCCATTTTATTTTATGATCAACTTTTGGTAAAACTAATCTTTGCTAAAAATAATGTTTTTACCACTTTTTAGTAAGAAAATTAAAAAAATAAGTTCTCGGTACAAAAACTCATTTTTTTAATTATTTGAAACTTATTTTTCTACTAAAAACTTATTTTTCACTAAAAATGAATTTTTTTAGCAAATAATTAAAAAAATGAGTTTTTTTACCGAGAACTTATTTTTTTAATTTTCTTACTAAAAAGTGGTAAAAAAATTATTTTTGGCAAAGATTAGTTTTTGGTAAAACCAGTAGCAATACCGACCAATACCAATACCGCATTAGTATTGTTACATGCCTACTGTCCAGTGATCAGTATTTCGCTCCACCTTCACTCGGCGCGATGCTCACTGTTTAATGGTACTAATTAATGAATAAAAATTAGTATCACGATATAGTGGGCATAGCACTGAGTGAGAGTGCCATGACATATAAATCAGTGAAAAATAAAGTTTCTACCAATATTTAGGAAAAAACTTTAAAACAATAAAGTTTTTGGTAGAAAAAATGTTTTTTCAGGAGAAAATAAGTTTTTCGTAAAATCCCTAGATGCCTTAGACCCATTTGACGTTTTTAGAAGGATCTAAGTGGGTCTAAGTAGGATTTAAATTTTAAATCAAATTCACAATTCTCTCCTATCTCAAGGAAAGGGCAATATTTTATAAAGTTTGATTAAAGTTTTTCGGGGGTGGATAGTCCGAATCCGTCGTTAGTTTCAGAAATTCAAAGTCGCTTTTTTAGGTTAAGAGACGGCTGTTTTGAGGAAAGGACGATGTTTCATAAAATTTGGTCAAAGGTTTCCGAGTGTGAGTAGTCCCAATCCATCATTAGTTTCTCAAAAACTTAAAGTCGATTTTGTCAATGGAGAAGGGCTGTTCTGAGAAATGAGCAGTGTGTATACTTAGTATGCAGTGTGTACTTTTGAACAAAGACATGAAGGAAAAGTTCAGATATCAATCTTAAATTATTAAAGATCTGGAATTATAATATGTCTTTATGAAGCACACATGACAATGTAAAGTCTATCTTCGATAGTTTTCTCATTGTCACACTGAGTTTCACAGCATTTCTTCAAATTAACAAATAACACTCGGAATTTTGAAGGTACCATTAGTGCATTCAGGTTCCCCATCCCTGAAAACCTTTGACCAGACTTTATCAAATAATGTCCTTTTCTCAAACTAGCTCTCTCTAAATCTAAAAACTCGACTTTTAACTTTTCAGAAACTAATGACGAATCGGACTATCCACCTCTGAAAACTTCTGAT